GTGGACTGTGGGGAGAGGGTCGCTAGGTTGGAGGTTTTTATCTCTGTTTTTATCTCTCAAGAATTGCGAAAGAGTTTGAGGTAGGGCCATAGGTACATTCGCACAAGCCCCTTGGCTAATAACAATATCGCTTCCACTCCCCCCCCTCCTCTATTTATATTCGGTCTTGAGTAACATTTAGACAAAAATAACTGATACTAGACTACCTGTTGATTCTTAAATAACCGTGTGTTTCAAGGGTCATCAATAAATGACGTCATTTTATTTGATAATTTTTAACTTTTCCCTTCCCTCCCTACTGTCAGTTATCGTCACAAAAACAAACCAGACCCCACATTCAAAAAGACGTCACACCTCAGACATGTTTTTGTCTTTTAAAAACACCGATATCGGCTGAGCAGGGTCTTGCCACACTATCCCTTCATATGCTAACGTCACAAAAACAGGTCAACTCTACTTTACCTACCCCATGTCCCGCCAACTCAGACATGTTTTTGTCTTTTAAAACACAGATTTTTGCTTAAAATCTAGATACATATGATAAATCCCTTGTATTCTGGTATTAGATGATCATTGAAGCTAAAAAGAACAGTTTTATATCAAATATTTAAGGACTAAAATATTTTAATAAAGAAACTCAATAATCGTGTTTTTATAATTATTTTAATTTTTAATTAATTAATTTTGGTTTGACCTAGATTCTAGATCTATAAAAGTCTAAAATGTTCTTCCTTCGACAGCTGATCTATAGATCTAGAGAAATCTATTGTATACTCAAATTAGAAGAACTGTTGAAAATTGATAATAGTGTTGGAACCTAACAAATATGGCAAACTGACGTATCGCTATAACCGACAGAAAATTAGCTTTATAATGCGTTAAACTTTTGAATGGGCAACAAAATCTTCGATGGAAGCCGCCATTATTGTTATAAAAAGTAAATAAATCATATGACGTCACTATAAGTAAAGTCGTTGTTCTGAACTTTTATAATTAATGTGGTTAATCTATCAATGAATATATCAATAAATTAATTAACGTCTTTAAATTTATTTCGGATTAACAGTTTGGTCAAAAAGAACATTGTTCTCTACCTAATTACGTATTTTACAGCTCTACACATAGTGCAGATTCTTTCCTGTAACCAAACAGACAAACAAACAAACAAACAAACAAAATTTAAAAAAAATAAAATAAAATAAAATAAATATACAAACATGTAAACAAACTTGAGTTTTAGTAGTATGTAGACAATTTTTTAAAGTATGAATAAAATACTTTAAAATAATTGTAAAAGTAATTAATGTAAAGGTCAATCAATTAAGTTGTGCTAAGACTTGGTGAAAAAGCCTTTATATACAAAATAGTTCAGAAGCTAAGAGATTCAGGCGGATTATAAAGGAGAGTCGTAAAAGCAAGCTATACAACTGGCTATTCTAACATACTTAAGTGAAACACATGAACTCTTTCTTCTTCTGCCCGCATGGTCTGAAAGTGTATTTCACTTTATTTTTAAATCTAACCCAACATAATTCGAAATGGGGCGGTCGAGTGGGAGAGCGCTGTCTAATAATTTCCTAGTTCGAACCCCCCCCCTCCCTCCCCCCGCGGCAGATGAGGATTTTAGATGAAGATAGCAACACACCTAGGACAGAAAACGAAAAAACAAGAGAGTTGAGCCTTTTAGACGAGAGGACCACCAATTCTATTTTCATTTCGGCAGCTTCTGTAAACACAAGTAGCTTCCATCCGTATAGTTTAGCATTCCTTTGGGGAGTTGTCTCCCTATTAAGTGTAACATTAACTACGATTATTTTGATTTTTTTTAAAAAAAAAAGGTAAAAACGTTTTCTTTTGTTAAAGCCCACATAAATGCTACGCCCTTGACTAGCCTAATTGAAAATTCGTCTACGCGATAATTCAGAGAGCTTTATTTTTCCGTTTCCAATGACAACGCTGGTATTGTTTACACTTCCATTCCTTTCATATCAAAAGCTTATCTGGTTTTTCCACGGAATTATTTTATGTTTAATTTCGGTTAATTGTTTAGACGTCAGTTTCTGTAGGCACACGTTGCGACATGCAGTAGAGAGGGTGTGGTGGTCTGTTTGTGTTACTTTTTTTTAATATGTTGGAATTAGTGGGGGTATGAAGCAACATCACACTGATAATTTTTTATCGTTTAAATCTGATTTCGAAATTCTTTACTTAAACTTTGTATAGTATTTATAGTATTTAATAGTCGGACGAATACATTTATACAACTGGCTTGGAAAACTTTCATCAAAATCAATATCTGAAGGTTACAGTTTTTTACAATGTAGCTATATGTAAAATTCGATTCGTTTATAAATATCGTTATAAGATTCAGACAAACATTGACCCAATTATTCCTAGTTCCAAATTTCAGGCCTAAGTAACTGTCCTGAATCTTGCAGGATTGATATATGTAAATCCATTATGTGTGCAAGGATCGATCTAGGAATAGATTTACTAGCTGGGTATTGTTTACATTTAGTATCAGTGTTTACAGTTGTTTTCCTGTGTTTGATAGCTTATCAGTGCATCTACAGACTAAAACTAATTTTTTCCTGACCTACATAGATTACCAAAACACTACGACAAAGCGATATGTAAGCAAATTTAAGACGTGCGTTAGAAATATACAACTTAACCTTGACATTGCTATAGATTAAAGTGCTAATATTCACATAACTTGGTGCTCGTTTTGAAAGTTTTGATGTGGGTTGAATATGTTGGGGGTGGGGTGGGGTCGGAGGGGTGGTGGGGATAAAAGGGTGTTGGTGTGAGAGGAGTGGTGACGTGGGAGGGGTGTTGGGGTTGGATTTGTTGTTGTCGTGAGGGGGGGGGGGCATTGGTGTGAGGGGGGTTGGGGTTGGCGTGAGAAATGTTGCTGTAGAAGGGGTGTTAGCGTGAGGGGTTATTGGTGTGTGTGGGGGGTGTTGGAGTGGGAGCGGTGTTGTGGAAGGAGGGATGTTGTGGGAGGGGTGTTAGTGTGGAAGGGGTGGTGAGGAGGGTGAGGTATTGGTGGGAGTGGTGTTGGTGTGAGAAGTGTGGTGGGATGTGAGGGGTGGGGATGGGATGGAGGATTTGCAATACTATGAATTTCGAAATAAATCTGAAGCAATTTTCTAGTGTTTAAGCTAGTCACGGATAGATAAGCCAAACCTAGTGTCGAGGTTATCGTTTATCTTTCTTATAAGCAAACAGCCATGCCAAGCAAGCCGATAACATTTTGTAATACCAACATTTGATATTTTTTATAGACCAGCGCACCTGGAATGTATTCTAACTAAATAATTATTACGACCACAGCATTGTACATGTATATCTACATATTATGACGTTTCAGAGTGTTATGATTATGTACGTAATCATTAGCGTTATTTTAGAGTAGCGTCTCTTTTGTTTATCTCCATTATCTTCTAGAAGACGGTTTTTTTACTAGTGTAGTGGGAAGTGACGTATTTGATAGGCCAGAACAGGATCAGTTATTGTTGTAATGAGGGCCATTAACTGCCGTGTGACATTTATGTCTCAAAAGAAGAACCAACAAGGTATATGCTGATTCGGTCATTAAGTTACAATGCCAGTTATCGTCAGAGCATGACTTATCATCATCATCTTGATCTGTCAAGTCCTCATACCTGCAACAAACACCCGAATTTTCTGGACTTTATATCATTAGCTCGATACCACATGACGTCATTGAGTCCAGCTAAATCTGATGAGTACCTGACTCACCCTAGGAAAAATGAAGACAACATGCCATAGTGCTGGTCAAATTATTTATACACCGCGGAGATAGAAAAAAAATGTGATCTCTAATTCCTCTACCTAACATACCACCAGAGTTTCTTCCAGGCTTGCCCCCCCCCCTCCCCCGAAAAAAAATTACCGTCCCCCCGAACGAAATGAAATTTATATAATTTACATAGATAAATATATACTGTTAACAGTGTCCGCCCCCCCCCCCCCCCCCGAAGAAAGTCCTGAAATCTTGCAGGACTTATGTATGTAAATCCATTATGTGTGCAAGGATCGATCTAGGAATAGATTTACTAGCTGGGTATTGTTTACATTTGGTACCAGTGTTTACAGTTGTTTTCCTGTGTTTGATAGCTTATCAGTGCATCTACAGACTAAAACTAATTTTTTCCTGACCTACATAGATTACCAAAACACTACGACAAAGCGATATGTAAGCAAATTTAAGACGTGCGTTAGAAATATACAACTTAACCTTGACATTGCTATAGATTAAAGTGCTAATATTCACATAACTTGGTGCTCGTTTTGAAAGTTTTGATGTGGGTTGAATATGTTGGGGGTGGGGTGGGGTCGGAGGGGTGGTGGGGATAAAAGGGTGTTGGTGTGAGAGGAGTGGTGACGTGGGAGGGGTGTTGGGGTTGGATTTGTTGTTGTCGTGAGGGGGGGGGGGCATTGGTGTGAGGGGGGTTGGGGTTGGCGTGAGAAATGTTGCTGTGGAAGGGGTGTTAGCGTGAGGGGTTATTGGTGTGTGTGGGGGGTGTTGGAGTGGGAGGGGTGTTGTGGAAGGAGGGGTGTTGTGGGAGGGGTGTTAGTGTGGAAGGGGTGGTGAGGAGGGTGAGGTATTGGTGGGAGTGGTGTTGGTGTGAGAAGTGTGGTGATATGTGAGGGGTGGCGATGGGATGGAGGATTTGCAATACTATGAATTTCGAAATAAATCTGAAGCAATTTTCTAGTGTTTAAGCTAGTCACGGATAGATAAGCCAAACCTAGTGTCGAGGTTATCGTTTATCTTTCTTGTAAGCAAACAGCCATGCCAAGCAAGCCGATAACATTTTGTAATACCAACACTTGATAGTTTATATAGACTAAGGCACATAGAATGTATTCTAACAAAATAATTATTACGACCACAGCATTGTACATGTATTTCTACATATTATGACGTTTCAGAGTGTTATGATTATGTACGTAATCATTAGCGTTATTTT